CTGATGAGAAGTTATGTGGTTGTTTCCACTTAAATGACTTGTAGCTGAATGTTTTGTGTTACTGATGGACGAAAGAACTCAGAACAGTCCGACAAAACATCGCGCATTAAGAAGAAAGATGAAGTCGCGCACATCTGAAGCTGGCCGCCAAACCGCATGGATCGAACACAGCAAGCAAAGGGCCATCTACAAGAAGCAGATTATAGAAACAAAGTTAAATCATGGAGTCATTTTTGCACCACGTCACATTTGCATCATAGAATAGCTACCTTCAAAGTATTTAAGCCTACACAAAGCCACCAGCAATGTTCCAAAATTAATGGCATCACCATTGACTCCCTTGAATCATGTATTTCTACAGGACAATGCCAATGAAGACACTCAAGAACAAAGACATATCCGTGATGACAGAAGCTTTCGAAAATACCCGACTATCAACAGTTCCAGAAATAACTTCTGCATCATGTAAAGTCCTTAAATAATAAAAAAAGCACCAGGCCCGAACGGCATCCCCAACAAAGCCTTAAAACGTTTATGCAAAGTAGGTCTAAACCTGCTGCTAATCCTATTCAACAAATGTTTAAAATTCAAGTGCTTTCCAACATGCTTGAAGTATGGTCAGATCCTCCAGAAGCTTATTTTTGATCTATTCTCCAAAAATAAGCTCCTAGAGTACCCACGCTCATACTGCCCCATTAAATCTGCTCCCGGCCACAGATAAGCTATTAGAGAACATGTTGATTAGCAGGAACAAATTTCACTTATACAAAACCAATAACATAAATCAGTGCCAGTACGGGTTCAAACGCAATAAATCAGCAATCTATGCTCAATAAACCAAATTCAAACCAACAAGAGCCAAAACCTGCACTCGGCCTAGACCTACAGAATAATTTTGACTCTCTCTGGTGGCCGGCAATAAAGCAGGCCCTCAGAGAGATGAACTGCTCGAAGAACTTGTTCAAGCTAACTACAGATTATCTAAACGATAGACAAAATACAATCATCTACAACAAAGAAATTGTCACCAGACTCAAAGCAGAGGATGTCTACAGGGATCATGTATGAGCGCTGACCCTTAACCACCCCATACCAAAATCGTAGCGTTCGCTGATGATGTCGTGTTCGTAGTTAGTGGACCCACCAGAGAAAAACTCCAAGACAACTACTACGCTACACTGAGAATCTTCAATGACCTATGCCGACGGGTAAAACGAGAGGTCTCACACACAAAATCTCAAGTCCTAATCGTACACACTCCAGGTCGCACCATCTCCAGAAACCCCACATTGAGAATGGACAACAAAATCAAATGCGTTATTGCAGTTAAGTACCAGGGACTAACACTAGACAAAGGCTCTTTTGGCCTCCAACACCTGAAAGAAAAATGCAAAACAATATCAACTATAGCAACTATAGCAAAAGCCAACAAGACCGTGCGAGGATACAACTAGGCATTAAACCACCAGATAATGAAGATCTTGTTAAACACAGTAATTAATAAGATGGAGCGGCCATCTGGGCAATTCCCATGTCAGCAAGGAAAGCGCGAATGATAAAATCAGTGCAGCGCACCTTCCTACTAAACATCGTCAGAAGTTTCGCAACAACATCAGCTCTAGCTCTACAGATCCTGGCAGGTATAATAAGTTATCAAACGGAAATTGATGCAATAAAATTCATGGTTTTTCAACTACAAAAACCAGCAAACTACTAAGAGACAACGTTCCACCCCCATGACTATGAAGAAAAACCATCCAAATACACATCTCACCCAGCACAGGTTCTTGACAACCTAACCTGCATCTTCACGGATTCCCAACAGCCAAAAACTCTCAAAGTATACACAGGCGGATCCATAATCGAACACAAAGTGAACAGAGAAGCTACCCTCCACTCCACTACAGACCCCATCAGCGAATGGCAAGGGTACATGCGAGAACATAATAGTGTCCATCAAGCGGAAATGGCTGCCATCAAATATAGCATTAACATTCTACTAAGCGAACAAACAGACGTCATCCGCGTAATAGCTGGCATTCAGTCGTCGATTTATGCCATAAAAAGCCATTACACCAATTCTCCAATAGTTCAATTTCAGGAAACTATTAGATCAACCCCAGCGAAAGTCATAATCGCATGGCCAATAATGGCTACAATCATACAGAAGGACTAAGAGAGCCAATATGCTCGCAAACGAGGCAGTACTACATCAAAAATGGAATAGCAATGGAAACACTCTGTCGCCGTTAAGAACTAAAGGTGATAGTCAGACAAATAGCAACAAAAAATGGAAGCAACAACGGGACGTCTCTCCACAAGGAAGTCGAACACAAGGCATCAAGTCAATGAAGAACATTCAACCACCGCCTACTTTCTCTCACAATTTATTTCCGGCCACGGTCTCTTCCTCACATACTTCTTCGAAGGAAATCTTTCAGTACCAGATCTATATGTGGGGGGAAAGGAGACCCTGAACACTACCTCTGTCCAATATGCATATCAAGCATCCTGCCAACCCAGGAGTGGAGTTCACAAAGCCAATTGTCAAAAACAGGAGTACTCACTACAGACTAAAACAAATAAACTAGCTGCACAGCCAAGGAAGGAAGATATACCATCCGTAAAATAACGAAATGAACAAGAGATCGGCAAACCAGCATTCAGTAACCGAAGCACCTCACAAATCACTAAACATACACAACCGACTGCCATCAGCATAACAAGGACAATAAGTATTAAAAGTATATCCACTGCAATTGCAAATACACTAACCCAACTGAAACATGCAACCTATATGCATAAATATATGCCAAAAACGTGTCTCATGTACCCAAGGTATGAATATAAACACCAACATTAACCTGTCAAATGTATAACTGTCAAAAGTGCAGTATATCGCACCATCAGCTAGTATTGCATGTTCAATAGTATTAATGTCTCAAATTTTTTGTATCATTATAATTGTGCTAAGCGTAAAATGCGTAAGTATCATTCCTTTAGTGTAGTATGTATCGTCAGTGTAACATGTGTTTGAATCTCGTTTTAGATGCATCACTTCTTAAATGTTAAATTTGTCTGTTAGAAACTGTGCTCCAAATACATTACGAATGCAATCGTGCAAGACCCCAATAAGGCACATAGTCTCTGTATAGCAATGTAAATTATTTGTCAAAACCAATAAACTCTAGAAGCAGCCTCATGAGGCTCTAGGGAGTTGTTCTCTAGATGGTTAGTCAATACCATATTTGTCCACAGAGATGACACAGTGTCTCTTGTACTTGTATCTGTCCTATCCTGATGAGAAGTTACATGGTTGTCTATACTTAAATGACTTGCCGCCGAATATTTTGTGATAGTAACAGATGTTGCTGGGGTTGTTAAAACTGTAACTTTTATCTCTTGATTTGTATCGTTAACGGTGATAGCGACAACTTCGCTGTCTAGATAAAGTAGAAACTTGTAAGTCAAGTTGTTTTATGTAAGTATACAATCAATCATATGTTTGCGGTTATAGACGAAGCAAAAGCTACTTGGGGGTTAGTAGGATTTAATACCCAAATCTTATCAGCCATCTTCGCTATCTTTGACAAATCTTCACCACTAACAAATATAATGCTGTGCATATTAACTGGTAGACGCTGAAGTCACAATGTCTTTAGGAAGATATTTTCCACTTCCTTGCCTGCCAAATTAAGTTTTTTACACAACAGCTGAGATAGCTTGTCTTGTAGCGGACTCAGGAAAATATCAACTACTTGTGACAAAATAGCACGTTTGATGGAACTTATCACATAATCATAAATCATGGTCAACAGTTATTTTTTCATTTTTAAATTGTGCTTCTAGTTGGAGAAATCATATTTTCAGATGTCGTTTCCAGAAAGAAGGAATTTCGATCCTAATCCTGGCGACAGCTGCACTTGTTACATTAGCTGCAGTTTAGTTTCATCATTGTCAGCCATAGTAAAAATAGGCTTAGTTTATATTTTAGGTTTTCTTTCTACGTAAAGGTTGCTTAGTAAGCTAGTGGTTTTTAGTTTGTTTACTACGTTTGTTGCATTCGGAAAGTTTTCAGCAAGTTTATCAGCCTAATTGTAAACATTAACACTGAAGTCGTCTTGTAATACAGAGAAATTTTAATTTTTAACCTTCACTTACCCATTTCAGAAGTATTTCAGTCTCATGAACGCTCAAAATTGTATACTTTTCAGATGAATAAAAATAATCGAACCATCAAATTCTTGATGCAATCCAGCGAACACAGAAGCGCTGCAAATTCGAAACTGTTACTCAATCCACTGTCGAACTCAGAAAAAAAAAAAAAAAAAAGCAGCGTAACTTCACAATGGGTAAGTAGCTACTTACAAAGCTGTCCGTAACACATATTTTGTAATATATGGACTATTTATAACATGCGTAGAATGTCAATGGCATCTCATCATGTTCCAGAAACCTCGTATGTTCTTCTTTCTTCTTCTACTTCATAAGTAGAATTCGATCAAATCCGGGTAAAGCAGTAAAGGGTCTAAAATGTAGGAAAATGCTTAACACTTCTCTGATTCCGATAATATTAGCATTTATTTACATATTTTGCATATCGAATTTCACAAACAAAACACCCGTCACTGTTCTTTTCACTTGTCGATGGCTTAATGTTGCCACTTCAGTTCAACTCTATCAAACAACTAGATAGATGATGAGACAAAAGATTAACATTTAATTTACGATTTTTTCATATCGAATTGCACAAACAGAAAATCATTGTTCTTTTGATTTCACAGTCACTTCACAATTTTTTAATCATCTGACCTTTTGTTTTTCATTTTAACCCTGTTGTTCTATAACTTTGAATCAAATGTTTGCAAACTTACCTTTACTTGAAGTAGCTGAAATGTAGGAAAGTGCTGAACACTCCTCTGAATCCGATACGGTTGACATTTATATACGATTTTTTGCATATCAAATTTCACAAACAAAATTGGCTCTCCTTCGCACGACAGTGATCTTCGCCTGTCTGTGTTTGTCGTGTATTATTATTGAATTGGCAACGCTATATGTGGAATTTTGATTTGTTTTCAATTCGTTAATCAACATGTTAAGAATTAGTGTAATACAGGAGCTGTTTCTACATTTCCAAATTTTGTATGAAACTGGAACTAATTAATATTTGCATATTCGATTCATAAAATATGAGTTCTCGAAAAAGTGTTGTATATTTTTGGGACCCTGATGTTGGAAACTTTCATTACGGTAAGTATACAAGTTCAGTTTTAGTGTTGTACTCGTGAGTGTGATTTAATACTTCTTATATTATGTAATTTTTAGAAAACTTAAAATTATATGATTTAATTGTGGTTGAAATAGTATTTTTAAATATTTCTAGGTTTGTGTTATTTGGATAGGCATTTAATTTTCCACATTTTTATACGTAAATGAATATTAAGGAAGGAATTTTACGATCTGTATGCATTCTTCATTGTTATGAATAGACTTTTGCTGTTATATTTTTAAAGTCCTTGAAAATGCTCCTGATTCCCTCCACGAGTCCTTTTTGTAAAATCGAGTAGTCAGTCTCATAAAGTAGTAGGGAGTTACCCATAAATCTTAATATCTTATGAAACAATGCTTCTGTTGCTTCTAAAAGAAATTCTTTATACCTAATTATATACACTTCATAAATATTCTACAACATGTACAACATTAATATTATTTAATTTTAAATTTATGCCAAACCTAGTAGTTGCTGAGCATCGGTGTGTACATTGGGAAGTTGGTGTGATATGCAGGAATTGAATTTTTGGTTAAAATTAAATTAGGAATTAATGTTTAGTTTAAAAGCAAGTATTGTGCATTTCAAGAGAATGTAATGCATATTTTGTTTGCCTTAATGCAGATAGTTTTGTGCTATTCATCTGAATTTTGGGTTAAAATTTACAGTACCCCTTAGCAAATCGTTTCTTTTTTAACGCCAAGATCGGTGCCAGCAAGGATCAGCACCAATTTCAAGATGGTTTCAATTATTCTGCCCGCTACACAAAACCAAAACAAGAAGTCGACTTGCACAAACTCAGTGTCCATGTGCACATCAACCTATTTTAACTTTAAAAAAAAAATCGGAAAATTCCACAAACCAAGCATTGTGTGGTGAATCTTTACATTATGGTAACTGAGCGATTTTTTGGCGAAAATTTGGCGACCAACCCTGCTACAGCAACCTGCTAGTTTTGTTTTGGACGCCATTTTGTTTTCATGAAGTAAAGGCATTTTTTTTTTTTTTTAATTTTAACTCAACATTTTTTCCAGCAATCTGCTAGCCGAATTACGTTTATACTAGAACTTTTATGGAACATAAATGCTTAATCATGACGAAGATTAGGTGCAAAATTGGGAGAAAGTGCAGAATCGCAAACCGCTTCCTGCGTTTTTAAGAATTGCACATACACGGTATCCATATACACGTCGACCTATTTTCACTTAAAAAAACATCCCAGAATTGCACAAAAATGGCCTTGCGCACACTCTTGACTTTATCTATGTACACATCGACCTATTTTCACTTAAAAAGTCAAAGATAATTGACAAAAATCCAATTCTTCTTACTCTTGTAAAAAGCGCCAAACAAATAAGTGGGCGATTCTGCACTTTAGCAGCGAAATTGTTTCTAAGTGCTTATTAGTTAAAATCACGATCGGAATTTTCCGGAAAATGTCACATGACATGTCTCATGATCTCTCATTTCTCTGAGATAAAATAATCTGTGATTTGAACTGTGTAGTTCTCAGATTATTGCTAAAGTCCTACCTAGTAACCTTTATCGCCTTACCAAAATGTTGCCAAACTGCCTGTTACCATATTCTAAAGATTAGCCCATTGTGTATTGTCTTAACCTTGTTCATGTACACATCGATCTGTTTTCACTTAAGCATAATCAGGAAGCTAAAACAAACTTAATGTTAACCAGAAAAAAATCTGTTGCTGTCTTAACGCACAGAGACGAATAAGTAACCAAAAATATACAAACAGATAAGAATAAATAACAAAAATTACATATTTCCTAACATAAAAAGGCTTTAGTGTAGAATTGGGTGCCCCTTCGATTGGCGACATTTTTTTTGAAATTTTGGCGATGAAACTTCACTTCTGGTTACCACGATAGTTTTAAATTTGTTTTAGCTTCCCGATTTTATTTAAATGAAAATAGATTGATGTGTACATGGACATTTTTAAGGCAGTGTGCAATGCCTAGTTTGTGCAATTCTAGGATTTTTTTTAAGCAAAAACAGATCGATGTGTACATGGACACAGATCTTATGCAATTCTTCGACTTTTTATTTTGGTTTTGTGTAGCGGCCATCTTGAAATTGTGACTTCCTGGTGGCGATCTTGGCGTCAAGAAAGAATCGCCAATAAACAAGGGGCACCCAATTGTAAACTTTTACCCATAAAAACATTAAACAACAAAACTTAACACACAGAGATGAATAAATAAATGAAATGTCTATTTTTTAATATACCGTTTCTCATGTGCATACGTTCACGCTTCTCACCACCATCTCCTCCATCCTCCACATAAGCAATTCACTTAAATTTTTAGTCATTCGGTTTCTTCCGCTGTTAGTGATGGATAAATACGTATAATAGCGTCCATCCCCTTACTTAGCTTAGATGTACTCAAATGAATGGTATCCACATCAAAGTACAACACCAATGCACATGCAACCGAACACAGCAATTGAAAAGAATGGTAAGAATAAAAAAATCTCTGTCTATATGAAAGGGGATACTATTACAAAAAATAACCAAAAATCTCAATTTATCACAACATATTCCCAGAAATGTTGGTAATATTCCCCAGAAATCACCGCTTTTTAATGACAAAAACTTTAGAAAAAAAAAAAAAAAAAAAAAGATTCTCTCCAAGGCTAGCTTTGCCGACATTATCAACATTAGGGTTACCGAAAAGCCTATTTCATGCACTGGGCTTCTGTATATTTCATGAACAACCGATACCACTTGATGATTTTTTCAGACAGAAACCAAGGGGACTGAACTGAAAGATGTTTCAGACTGAAACTGTACAGTAAAGATCAGCCGAATTTTGTTTGTTAGATAATCTGCAAAGTAACAAAGAAGATTTTCTATTTTGAATGGGCTTATAAAAGTTTATTACACATGGGAAAAAATACTCAAAATCTTCAGTTCAGACCAGAAATGAATTATTGTTTCTTGTAGGTTTATCCAGGTGACTGCTGGTGAACCTCCCTAGAAAATTTGATATTCTTCAGAGTTAGCATAGATTTAAGGGCTTTCCTTGGGTTATCGCTAAGTTGTTGTTTCATTTATCGGCAAGTTGCTGTTTCATTTATTGCCTACTTGTTGTTTCATTTATGGTAGCCTGAGTAGCTGAATGTTATGAAAACCCTATTGTGACGTAATTGGTTGCGTGATTACAGTCAGTTTGAATCGCGAGAAGAGATTTGGAAACTGTGTGTCGAATTTTGAATAAGTATGTTGTTATTTTTGGTTTACATGGTAAAATGGCTGAATGTGATAAGATTAATTTGAAGTTTCTGTACGATTTAGAACGAAAGGGGGAAAAGCATTAATTGACTGGTGTGTAAATGAAGGTTTACTTACTAGCCATTATTAAGTGTTCTGTTTGTAGGAAAGAAATGTGTATGGTCGAACGTTGGAGGCACTATTTAGGATTTTTTTTTACTCTTATTTTTGTTATTTTATGTGGCAATGCCAGTATGCAGATTCTAGTTCAGATAATTTTAGGAAGCTTTTGGATATCTTTCAGAGTGAACCTCAATTCAATTTCGTGGATCTACTTTCTGGGTTGATCTTTACATTATGGTAACTTGGCGTTTTTTGGCGAAAATTTGGCGATCAACTCTCCTACAGCAACCCTCTATTTTTTTTTCCCGCCGCCATTTTGTCTTCACGAAGTAAAGACATGTTTCTTTTCTTTTTATCTACTGAACACTTCTTCCAACAATCTACTAGCCGAATTACACTTATGCTAGAAATTTTATCTAACAAAACTGCTTAATCATGACAAATATTCACTGCAAAATTGGGAAAAAGTGCACAATACCATACTCCTTATGCATTTTTCAAAATAACACATACAGATAAACCATGTACACGCCGACTTATTTTTACTTAAAAAAAACATCCCAGAATTGCACAAAAATGGCATTGCGCACACTCTTCACTATATCCATGTACACTGCTTTTTTCTCATAAATTAGAAAAATTTCACGAAAATACATGACAATTTTCTCAATCTTTAAACCTGGTAAAAAGAAACATATATGAAATTACCTGATCGCGAAAAAGTATTTACCCTTTCCAAATATGAACATTTCCACATATAAAATAAATAAAATATCCAAAACTTTTACCTCTAAATCATCTATTACATTATACACGTCACCAACGAATTCATACCGCAAGCATTACAAATACTTAGTATCAAATATTTAAATTATTTCCATGCACGTTTACTTCAACTTAAACATATACCAAATTCCTACAAACATAAAATTCACAAAATAACTATCATTTAATTAAAATATCACTAAACCACGTGCACGTCACGTCGACTTATTTTTACTTAAAAAAACATCCCAGAATTGCACAAAAATGGCATTGCGCACACTCTTCACTATATCTATGTACACTGCTTTTTTCTCATAAATTAGAAAAATTTCACGAAAATACATGACAATTTTCTCAATCTTTAAACCCGGTAAAAAGAACATATATGAAATTACCTGATCGCGAAAAAGTATGAACATTTCCACATATAAAATAAATAAAATATCCAAAAACTTTTACCTCTAAATCATCTATTACGTTATACACGTCACCAACGAATTCATACCGCAAACCATTACAAATACTTAGTGTCAGATATTTAAATTATTTCCATGCACGTTTACTTCAACTAAAACGTATACCAAATTCCTACAAACATAAAATTCACAAAATAACTATAATTTAATTAAAATATAATTAAATTCAAAAAACACTACTTAAAATATAAATGAGCACACATACATTAAATTAATACATACATAAATACCCATTTCGAATTCATTTTAGTTACGGCCATGGGATCCAAAAATTCACGAACACTGTTTCACACGACACAGAATAAAGCCAAATACAAAATTTCCAGATTTTTTCCCGATTTCCTCCCTTTTCCGATTAAAGAACCGTAATTCGTCCATTAATATCACATGACATATCCCATGATCTCTCATTTCCCTCACACAAAATAATGCGTAATCGGAACTGAGTACTGCTCACATTATTATCAAAGTGCCAGGTAGTAACCTTTATCGCCTCCAAAATGTCGCCAAACTACCAGTTACCATATTGTAAAGATCAACCACTTTCTGGAGTTCTTATGCAAAATATCAAGTTGGTATGGGTGGACCAAGAAACATAAGGTACAATGAGACATTATTTGAAGTCATGCAATCAAAGAAAATATCAGAAAAGAAAAGACCATTTATTCTGACTTCTGAGCCACCTATGAAACAGAAGAATTGTAAAAAGCTGGTTTTGAGCCTTTCAGAGTGAACCACAATTCAGCTTTGTGGATCCGCATTCTGGAGTTCTTATGCAAAATATTAAGTGGGTATCAAGTTCTTCAAAATGCTGGACCAAGAAACATAGGGTACAGTAAGACACTATTTGAAGCCATACTTAGCATAGTTATGTGGCAACAGAAAGTTTAAAATCCCTTTAAAGCCATTTTAGAAGCGGATGTCAAACATTTTCCACCTTAAATAAAGAAAAACTAATTGTATCAAATTATTGTTAAACTTAGCCAATCCGTCTCTGTGAATAACTACAGTGTGATTTGGCTGTCCTCTATTTGAGTAATTATGAAAAATATTGCAGCAGATTCACTTTTAAGATTTAATGTTTTTTTTTTTTTTTTTTTTTTTTTTTTTTTTTTTTTTCCCCTCCTTCCCCCAGCTCAGTGATTTAAGTTTCAAGTTTCTGTTTAATATGTTTCTCAGTATGTTATATTTAAATGATCTCCACATAAGTTTCAGAAATCATAGTTCATTTCACACCATTAACTCATATTATCTGAAATGTAGTTATTAACTTAATGAATGCTTAATTCTTATATGCTGTTAAAATAGTAAATCCTTTTTTTTTTTTTTTTTTTTTTTTTTTTTTTTTTGTAGGTCCCGGGCATCCTATGAAACCTCACAGATTGTCAGTTACTCATAGTTTAGTATTACATTATGGCCTGTACAAAAAAATGCAGGTATGATATAATCTAATTATGATTCTTATTTCTTTTGATAAAAGACTATCAGGTCAAATGTTTTCAAGAATTGCTGTTCATAATAGGTAACTGCCGAAATGAGTATAATGGTTAACTCTGCTGGTTGTTGTTTGGGCATGGGTTGGAATCTTGTTAAAAACATGAATCTTTGTATGGCATGAGGGTACTTAAAATACTGACAAAATTAATATCCTTTCAAGAGATTGATTGATAATTGGGAAAAAGATGGAAGAAGTGACCCGTGGATCGGTCTCCCGTGTGTTCTGTGTCAAAATTTGAATAAAGCTATACAGTTACAGCTTTGCCTTTACAGGTATTGGTGAAGGTCTGGCATCCTACCTTCGTATTCTTCTTCTGTTTCTGATCAATACTGAGAAATGCTTTTTTTTTTTTTTTTTTTTTTTTTTTTTTTTTTTTTTTTAATGACTAGTGACAAGAGATGAAAGATGGTTGTACCATTCTGACACAGAAAGAAAACTGGAGAGCATGGCATGGAAACAGTGAATTTTCCCAGTTCCACAAGTTCAGAATCTACACATCTACTGGGGAGGTTTGGGGCACCATTTGTTAGGGTAGAAATGAACCACTGTTTATTGATTATGTGCCATATCAGGGTTCATACAATCCTTAACTGTACTTGAAAATCCTTAAGATTTTTGGAAGCAGGTTTTTTTAGTCCAAAGGGATTTGAATCCCGAAGGACTATTAGTTTCGTTTTGGCATTTTGCGTCGGACGGATAAATGTCGGTTCACTTTTCAAACTGTTGCCATAAAATGTTAGAGTCCTGCATTATATTTGAAGAAATTAAATAATGAAAATCTGCGTAAATGTATGTATATTTCTCACATTGTCATAAAATAACGGTACATAGAGTCATCGAATTTTGAATAACGTAATCTTCCAACGAATATGAGCATGTGGAAGACCAAATTTGAAATTTGAAATCTGTTTTATGATCGATTTCCTATTTTTTAAAACTTTGATGAATTTTTGATTAACAGACTCGAGGATTTCAAAGCGAGCAATGGCAACGTTGTGCAGAAAAAACATTTTTATCTCCAGCGCGTGAGTCTCTGTATCGGAAATTCTAAAGATATGCTCGTTTTAAAACTATTTTGCGATATTGCTGTTGCACTGGATCTTACGGTTTAAGTGCGAGGAACATGATATTTAATAAAGAAAGGTAACACACAAAATGTTAAAAAACACCCCTTTGGACGTAATTTAAAATCTGAAACATTTCAGATTTTTTTTTTTTTAGGCGTTTACGCATGCGCATAAAGAGAAAGTATAACCACATAAAATGAAGCAACTTAAACAACTTACATTGAAAGAAATGTTTAATAAAGTAAACAAATAAATATTATGCTTCCTTTTTTTTTTTTTTTTTTTTTTTTTTTTTTTTTTTTTTTAATAAATTTTGATATCCTTTAGATCATAATTGTTCTTTATTTCATAAATTACGGTTTCATATTTTTAATTTTATAATTTCTGCATGCCATCTTACCAGATTTAAACTGATGATCTATAATCCGGAAAAATCGATTAATCTGGAATCGCCGAAGTCCCGATGAGTCCGGATTAAAGACTTTTGACTGTATTTGAATTCTTTCCTACTTCTTAATGTAAATGGTGAGATAACTCAATTTTTTTGGGCACAAGGTCCTACTCAAATGAAATTATTTCTTTTTTGTGAATGAAGCATTCATAAAATATTACTTAAACAATAACTTTTCCCTTTTGGGATAACAAGTCTTTTATTATGCGATGCTAAATTTAGTGACATAAAAGACATGTTGATGATTACAAGATCAATTCGTATACAAAATTTTTTATTTATAGATATCCCAATTTTTCAATGATTCTCTCGTAAGGAAATCATGAGTATATTCTCAATTGAGAAATATTTGAAGAAAAATTGTATACCTCCTTGTTACTACAGCCTCTGCTTATAAACATTGCTAAGATTATCGATAAACCATCTAGGCACACAGTCTTTAAATCTGTGGCAGTCCTAACAGTGATCATTTTAGTTTGCTTACAATGAGAAGAGCTCCAAGTAAATCGTGTTTAATCATATTTTCTTTTTTGCATATAAATGTTAACAATTTACAGTTGCTCTTAATTCTTTCATCATGAGAAGAACTTTGAATATTCCATGTGTTAACATATTTTCTTAAAAAAAATATATATTATATATCATATTGAATTAACTGGAAAGAGTGCAAGATCAAGAGTAATAATAGTAAGTAAAATATATCTTTCAAGTAAAATATACAAGTAAAATATATTTTTCAAGAAAGATATATTTTACTGCATATGAATATAGGAAAAAGTACTTAGATAAAATTACGTATCAGAGAAAGCATTTCATAGTGAAAAGTTGCAAGTGAAGGAAAAGCATACTTTATAACAGCCATTTCAGTGGTTTCAGATTATTGTTTGTAACATCACTGATTTATTTTCTCTTGGGAAGAGGAACTGATATCGATTAAGTGGTGGGTTAAGCAACACATCCTTTATAAAAATACAGCTGTTGACTGGAAACAGTTTTATGAGACATGTATTCACTGTATTTAATCTGACAGCCAACTAAAGAAATAGATGAGCCTGGAAAATGGCATGGGTGTAATGAAAATTTGTTCATATTAGGAAAATAACAAGCTAGCAGACTTACCAAGATATTGGATTTATGATGGGTTATGCTAAGAAACTGGTAAATCCTTTCTCACTGAATTTCTGAATAGGGTGGTAACCACAGTCATGGCCCAAAGTCGTCAACTGTGTACAAGAGGGACTGACTATTTATTCCTGTTGCGAGCATCTAAAACAGATATATTGGAAAAAGCATGTTGGAGACATTTTACTCTGAGCCATAAATTTCGTTTAATTGATCCAGTAACAGCTGCTCAAACACAAAATGTTGAAATGCTGTAGCACTCTGCCAAATGTTTAAATAAAAATTAATAAGGCACTGTTTGCCATCATCGTGAATCTTACTTGCGACTGATGCCATATTAAAAGTAGTTGCGGAAACATGGCTTTCGTAAACATATATGTGAGAAGTAAACGTGAACTTGGTAATTAACCTGATGCCAATATGTTGTTTAAAAAATAGATGCCATAATAATGTGGAAGTATTGAAAAATTTACTAAATTCATGATGCTTATTTCTAGGTACATTTCTTTGTTCTGCTTATTAACCGCAACATGTATTTTAGCTGGCATTCAATGCAAGTCATATGGATTATTTTGCATTAAAAAAAATAAGATACGTAATTGAATTATATTGAAATTAAATTCTATGCAAATTTTATGTCATGACTTTTATTATGAGGCATAAATAAAAAGGTCAAAACTGATCATTGGTAGCTACTTATGATGCTGAAACAAAAAACTGTGTTAAAAAATTATACTAATAATTATTTATTTATTATTCAGGTTTACCGCCCATATAGGGCTTCTGCTCATGACATGAGTCGTTTTCATTCAGATGAATACATTGACTTTCTGCAGCGAGTGACACCACACAACATACAGACATTCAATAAAAGCTTGAGTCACTTCAATGTTGGAGATGATTGGTGAGATTTTAGGAATTTTTTTATTTTCCCCCTAAATTTTTATTTGTACTGGCAGTTTTTGCTAATTAATTTTTTCCATGTATTTGAGGGATAATTGAAAATAATATTTTATTTAGTGTTAAATTTATAATTGTTGTTGTGTGCACTTATTTTTAAAATTTTCTTTTAGTCCTGTGTTTGATGGACTGTTTGATTTTTGTTCGATGTATACTGGTGCTTCCTTAGAAGGTGCAGTTCGTTTAAACAACCAGGTATTACTTCATATTTTATTATAAAATGCATTTTAATGTTTTTAAGTGCATTTATCTTTAGAGACTTTGTGTCATAATTATCATATATTTGTGACAGAGTGATCATACAATTCTGGAAAAGAACTATTTGTTATTTTGTCCAGAAAATTTGTGTAATTTACATAGATGTAAATATTGATTACTGTATTTATTGCATGCCACCATCACTGCATGTATTTTCATAGCAACATAAAATAATATATGAAAGGTCTAGACATTGGTTTTTATTAGAAGCTGTTTGGAAGAAAGACAAGAAGTGGGGGCATGACGTAGGACAATATCTAATGAATCTAAACAGAATGCAAACTGCATTTTAGGTTGATAATATATACATAAAAATCAGAGGAGCTGAACAATAAAAAATTTTCATTTGCAAAAATTTTATAATTTCGCTATGGGTGAAAATATATTTACAGGTGCCCGTTGGCGAAAATTGAAAATTTTTGGTAGCACATAGATACCGAGTTTGTGCAATTCTTTGAATTGTTTTGGCTTTGTGTAGCGGTGATTTTTGGAGCAAAAATTGCCGCTACAAAGAATTGCACAAACTCGGTATCCATGTACACATCCACCTATTTTCACTTTAAAAAACATCAGAGAACTGCGCAAACTTGTTATGCACACCCTTGACTTTGTACATGTACACATCAACCTGTTTTCACTTAAGAAGTCAAAGGAGCAGCCAACAAAAAATATATAATCTCAGTAACCTACATTTTGAATCAAACGGTCAAGTAACATAAAGAAGGAAATTCATCTTAGCACTACACAAAGGAAATATTCACTTACCTTATTAAAAAATTTTCCTGTCTTCAGTGAATTAAAATTCCTTATCAGCATCCAAACACTTCCTAAAATTATCTGAACTAAAAGCCTGTAAACTGGCATCACCACATAAATTCACGAAGATAAAGAGTCAAAAATACCCTCCATAGTGCCGGTATCCTCCAACGTTCCACCATACATATTTCCTTCCCACAAACAGAACATTTGTAATGGCTACTAAGTAAGCCTTTTATTTACACATCAGGTTAATTAATGCTCTTTTTCCTTTCATTCCAAATCATACAGAAACTTTAAATTAATCTTACCATATTCTACCTTCTAAACCACAAAACAAGCAATGTATTTCCTAACCAACACACACCACAAGCCCTTACAAATCTTTTCCCATTCAAATTCACTGCAATCATGCAACCATTTATGTCATAAGAGTTCCTTAACATTCAACTACTCAGGTTACCATAAATGAAACAACTTCGCGATACTACAAGGGGCATCCGTAAATCTACTCTAATCTCGCTATGTTATTTGGTATATCTCAAACAGTACAAAGCAGTTTATCTGAAACAGCTTCCTTAATCAAATTCTCATCTCTGATATACTTCAAAATGTAGCATTGTTTTCTTCTCATTTTATCTTCATTTTTAACTCATGCCACTGTAATGGAATAGTACCCTTTTTGTACTTGCTATGAGATTAAACCCATCTCAGAAAGAATTTCAGTTTTAAAAAGCATTTATTTTTTTAATGTAAATAAAGAAATATTAAATTGTTATAAAATACATGATATCATTTGAAGAAACAATTTTGAATGCATTTCATGTTAATATTATGTTATTTATATTTTATATATTAACAGTTATATTTACTAAGTTAAATATTTTTATTTTCTGTGTACTTTAAGAAGTCTCATTTGAATACTTAGAGTAACCTTTTTTCATAATGTATATGTTTATATGTATGTATTTTTATTTTTTTGCTAAGAGATTGTTTTCACATACTGCTTTAAAATTAATTCTGAAGAGAATTTTTCATGGCGTCTGTACAAACGTATGTATGTACGTGCGTATCTCGCATAACTCAAAAACGAGTAGCCTCAGAATGTTGAAATTTTGTATATAGGACTGCTATAACATATAGATGTGCACCTCGTATTTTGGTTGCAATCGGCTGCACCAAATGTATATAAATATATTTATATATATATATCCACTCTGTTACCCGGCTCAGTGATCTCAATTTCTTTACTCTTGTATGTTTGTAAATTGTACATTTTTTGCTTTGAAAATGATTGAATTATGTTGTTTTTATCTTCCGGTTAAGGCTTTTATGCCTTTAGTGAATCTGTGTGCAATATTTTTAGAATTATCAACAATTTTAAAGTTAAGACACAATAACACGCCGAATAAATACCAATTCAGAAGTCAAACAACAAAAATCAGCGTTATATTTACAAAATTTTTTAATTTGTAATATAACGTAATTTGTAATATAAAAAAATTTTGTAAATATAACGCTGATTTTTGTTGTTTGACTTCTGAATTGGAATTTTAAAGTTGTTTAAGTGCCGCTAAGCCTTTTTTTTCTTATGGCGGTCATTGATTGTTTACATTTGAAACAGCAGACTAGTGGATTTGTTGCCAATCTAGAGAAACTTAGCTTCGCAACAACAAAGATAACGCCTTCATTTATTATTGCCAATTAAATCATGCTTAATCCTTTCTGGAATTTTTTCAAGGAAATAAGTGTTTAAGATTTACTTCATAATTTTTAATTGTAGATATTTTGAGTTTTTATGTGTTTTTGCCTTCTCGCGAAGTGAGAACTGAATTAATTGAATGAGAAATACTCAATCGTCTGTGGAAAAACTGTTTCTTTTTTGCTTTGTTTGCTTAATTTCTTTTATACATCATTCTAGCTTTATTATAGTATTTGAGTAGAACATGTGGCAACGATTAGATAATTCTATTCTTTAAATGATATAAATTTTGTGCATTATGAGTTATAATATGAACGAAATATAATACTGTTAAGTGAATTTAGCGCCAGAGTGTCATTATGGTAAACAAATACTAGAGTGAATTTTAAAGAATGCATTTATTCTATTGTGGTTTATGCGCTGTCGGCAAAGTAGATTTAGTTCAATCCAATAAGTTTAAATGAAATGCAAGAAAAAATGCGTATAATTTAATATTCCATACAAGGAAGTCATGTGATATACACATCAGTTTTTTTTTTTTTTTTTTTTTTTTTTTTTTTTTTTTTTTTTTAATGGTCGGGCACTTAATGGCCATTAGCCCTGCACAACTACAAGGGTGGAAGTGGTTGCTATTTTATTTTGGAAGCACCTAACAGGTGGCTACCATTGCCTTCTGTGAAGGGACAGACAGTTACAACCATGCCTTCTTCGTGATTCGAACCCAGACCCGTCACTGACCACAATATCAGTTGGGCAGCATTTTTATTTTAGCCTTTAAGATAAGGAAATTCTGTCCGCCTGAACTCTAGTGCAGATAAAGAGCTCTGAAAGCAGTGCCTTACAGATCCAGGGAGTAGGAAGATTTTGGTCCAACTTGTTTCACTGAAGCATTACGTACTATCTATGATCTTTTGCCATTTTTCAGGTAGCTTCATAATTCCGTCGGTGTAGAACTTCTGTGGTTTGTTGTCAAGAAACTTGAAGAGCTGCTGAGTGATTTTCAGTGGCTCTTTGGTTAGCCAATCTTTTACCATCAAGAGAGTTTTGCAGAGACTGAAGAAAATGGTAGTCAGATGGTGCAAGGTTTGGGTTATATAGTGGATGCATCAAAACTTCCCAACCAACTTCCATCAATTTGTTCTAAGTCATTAAAGATCTGTATGGCCATGCATTGTCATGATGGAACAAAACTCCTTTTCTTTTGGCCAATTCTGGTCGCTCTTTCTGTATTGCTTCGTTCAAATAGTCGAGTTGTGCACTAAACAGGGTCAAATTGATGGTTTCGCTAGGTTGCAATTTATGTGTCACCCAAACATTAAGCTTCTTTTCATAACCTACTCTTTTCTAATGATTCCAAACTGTCATGTGATTGATGTTTAGTGCATCTGTCATTTGCTGACAGCAATAAGCAGCTCAGTTTATCAAACAATGAGTTTAATAATAAGTGGCGGGTATCATATATACCATTTTGTACTTGCTGAGTTCTTCTTTTATATCTAATAGTTTGGGTAGATTTTGAAACTGAATTTCATTTTCTGTTTATTGTTCACATTAATGTTTTTATATTTATGTATAATGTTTGTGTCAATTTTTAGTGTTGTGATATTGCTATTAATTGGTCAGGCGGACTGCATCATGCAAAAAAATTTGAAGTAAGTTTTGCTTTCATTGCATTAAAGTTGTTAAGTTGCACTTAATGTACTCCCCTTAAATTTTCTTCATAATATAATCTATGGTGCTGTATCTTTCTGTTTAAAGTGGAAGAAATGTTTGTGTCTTGTTTAATGCAGATAAAGTTGTTAAGTTGCACTTATACATACTCCCCTTAAATCTTCATCATAATGTAATCTGTGGTGATTTATCTTATAGGCAAATATAAAATAGCATTTTATTTATATTGCATGGAATGTATAACAACTCTGTTTAAAAAGAAAGAAATGTTTATATGTTGTTCATTGTAGAGTATCTTATTTTATTACTTCTAGGAGCAGTTTAACTCTTCTTAACTTTACCACTGATAGTTCTTTACTGTTTACATTTTTACTCCTGTAATTTCTCTAGCTTACTTTTCACTGCGAGTATGATTCACTATACACATTAATTTAAATTAGTGAATATATTTACTTGAATGTCTTTTACTTAAACATTCTTTCCAGATGCAAATTATGTATGCTTTGTCATGATTAAATTATTAATTGTGATATATCCTAGTAAGGTTCATAGAGATTTTTATTTTATCTTTCGTACATTTAAATACAGTTAGTTATCAAGGAAGATTCAATTTTTTATTCATATGACAAACTATTCTATTTCTTAATTCTTTAATTTATTTATTATTGTGATAGGCAAACATTTATTTTTTAAGGTATTTTGTAGAGACATTAGGATATTTTTGGACGCAGGTAAGATGAAAAATTAGCAAATGCTGTCGCCGGAAATCGAACCACGGATTTCTGGAATACCGGCTCAGCGTGCAGAACCACTACACCATGAAGGCACGCTAGTAAGGCAGGAGAAATACCTTATAATTTTTTGATTATCTGCATTTAGTAGAATTGCCTCTTTTTTTGTTGCATTTTCATGTACACACATGCAGCAATAAATAAACATATGTATTTACATACTACATATATGTTTGAGTACATGTAGATTTACATGCTTTATAATTTAACAGTCATTTTGTCAAACAATATCTACTGGCTGTAAAAATAAAAACTATATGGAATTTTTTTGCCAAAAAAAAAATTACTTTTTTCTTATAAAATGCTTCAGCTCTTTATGATTATCTGTACCCCCTCTTTTAAAAAATATTAATGAAACAACATTCAGTATTGCCAAAATAGTGATGCATCAACCCATGCCATCACCAAAAAGTATTTATGTGGCAACACAGTTTTGCGCACATGGTGCAGTCTTCCTAATTCAACTATTTAATGGAGCTGTGGAGTTTGCTGAGTTATGAAAAAGAAAGTATCTTATTACTTCAGAAATATGGGAAAGTCCAACAGTAGAAAATTGAAGAATATGCATTCCATAAAGTTGTACTTCTTAAATAATTGAATTTTATGGTAGTGATGTGTAAGAAACTGCAAGCAAAGTGTGTGCAAGTTGCAAATTTTTCTTCCCTTTTTTTAAATAAAAACATTTTGCTGTGTACTTGAGGAGAACAACAGCATGTGCAATGCCAACTTTGCAATTCTTTGATATTTTTAAGCGAAAATATCAGAGAATAAAAAGTAAAGATTTTTTTTTTAAATTTAAAAAAAAAAAATTTTTTTAAGGTAAATGTTTTATTATGAATGTTTCTTGCTTTTTAAATTTTATTGTTTGCTCTTTTTTGGAATTCTTGGTGTGAACCATTTGAAAATTTCAAAATGGATGATGCCATTCATGTATGCATGTCCAAAATTTTAGCAATTTTTTACAAAGGATGTATAGATAATGAGAAAGTACCAGTGCTTCTTTTTATTTCTATGAACATAACACTATTATTAACTGTAAAGATAGCCAAAACAAATGTTTTTCACCTATTCACAAAGTTGCAAATGAGTTGCTGATCTTTAATAGAGGTGCAGATAATCAGAAAGTAATTATGTGCAGTTTATAAAGGTATTTTTTCTCTTCTCTGCAGTTGCTATCTAAATGTTTGTGCTCATGTAACAAATCTCTTTGTTTTTATATGTATATGTAAATAACATTGCATTGAATTAACATTCACAGGCTTCAGGTTTCTGCTATGTTAATGATATTGTGATTGCCATTTTAGAGCTTCTGAAGTAAGTTCAACTTTTTCCTATCCTTTCTTGAAATAGATATTAGTAACGTTATTTAAGATATTCCATGACAAATAATAAAATTTCAAACTCTGCATTATTATTACTTTTAATGCATTTCCTATGTGTCTGTTTTTAATGTACAACTTTTATTGGAATAATTTATATTTTCTTGAACACCACACTATGATGTTAGAAACAATATTCTTTTTGAAGAAAACTTTTTAATTTCGCATTTAAAAATTTATTAAATTTTTGGAACTATTTTACGCAATGTTACAAAGTATTAATAGTTTTCACAGTTGTGATTTTTGTATATGGTTTACAAATTAGTATAGATATTATATTATATATTATAAACTTGGTATATTATAAACTTGGTATATGTGATTTATAATGTGTATCTGCATACAGTAAAAAAGTCTAAATCCGGGCATCCAATATCAAGATTGGTCTATAATCTGGACAAACAGCAACTCCTTTTTTTGTGCATTTGATGTCTTTTCATAATAAAACATATGGAGTCCTGTTTCATAATTTTACTTCACTAGATAAAATATTTTTTTATACTGAAGAAGCAATCATGTATTAGCATAAATTTGAATGATCAATAATTTGGCTCCATAGCTGTCGCTTTGCTTGTGCTTTCTCCCATTAGATTATGTTCTGTCCAAACATAAATGCAGGTTTTCATGGTCACTCACACTGTGTTACAGCTGATTCTGGCATGATTTCCATTTTGAAACATAGTGTTTTTATTATTTATTTCTGTTCTCGGCAAACCACAGGTAATTAAAATCAGAATGGGAAGTTTATTTTAGTAAAATATAAAATAATGTTCAGATTACTAACATTTTTGCAACGTATTGAATGTACTGCATAAAGTTTTTGAACTTTTGTAAAAGCAGTAGAAGTATATGGAAAAGTGTACAGTTTACTAGAAAAAGGAGATTCAAGATGAAGTATTTAGTTTTTAACAGTGCATAACTGAAGATTATATGTTATGAAAAATCAATTAATTTTAATCAGTTAACAAATATTAACATAGAAGAAATAAATTAATACAATTAAAAATTTATAAAAGTAAATTACCTAATAGAATCTTCTATTCTTTATTTTGATGTTTGTATTTAAAAATTTAAAAATATATTAAAATAATGCTGAAATTCATGAACATTTTTACAACTTATATGTGTGTTAATAGAAACTGGAAATCACTTAAAATTTATCAGCAGTAGTCTGCTAGAAAAAAGTAAAATTATCTGGGATATGGTTAAATTTTGCTTTATAATGTAAATGTTACTAAAAAAAATCTGGCATACAAGCAGCTTTTTGCAGCAGAACTGTTATTATTATGTTATCAACAGTGTCAACTTAAAACATTAATAACAGAGAATCCTTTAAATCTATCACATATTTCCTTAAATACTTTAAAAATATCAGTAAAAGCACAAAATGAAGTCAGCATTCTTATGGCCATTATTTTTTAACATTTGAGTCCAATTTGAATCAATTACCCAGATCAATGGGTTTTTCCATTTTTCCTTTGGCAGCATTGGCAAAACTTATACCAGGTATAACATTAGCAGCATTTTCAACATTATTTACAGTGGATTTTGGCACAATATTATTATCACATTAACAGCATTGTCATTCACATTTTTCAGATTAGCATTTTTATATATTTTAGGAAATTTGGAACATCCACAATAGTTTGCAGTATGCCCCATTTGTAAGCAATTGCAACACATAACTTGACTACCTGAAACTTGAAAAAGAGCCTCCTTCATGTGTAAAGGTTATAAATCAAAATCGCACTGCTTGGCAACTTAATCCTTTACCTGATGACATGTGTGCCTTTCAACAATTCCTATACTGTATTTTGATCTCATTTGGCAATTTTACTTTAGTTTAAAAATATCATTCTATAATATTTTGATAACATTAATCAACTTGCTGATCACAGTAAGTTGATTAATGTTATCAAAATATTATAGAATGACGTCATTATTGACGATTAGTTAAATGATGTATTTTCCAGTGTTTTAATATACAAATGGGCAGGACTTCAGCAATACGGTAACAGTATCAAAATCAAGCAAATTATCAGATTAAAGCAACACCTCCTATAGATTCACCTCATTGTGCAGAATATATTTATTTTTACTTCAGGAATTTGAGTATGTAACCTTTAGCACCCCTATTAATTTCTTAATTTTTTCCTTCACTTTTCTGAAAGAAACCCTTACCCCGCCCCCCCCAGAAAGGAACGCAGACTTGTTTTACCTTATTTTTTTTACCGTTGATGATCTTGATTTTTATTTTCAATCATCATCATAATGGTAATTAAAAAAACTTGTTAAATTAATAAATTAACTATTTTTATATTATCATTTTGAATTTTCTCTGTTCTAGTTTCTATTCATGTAGAAAGAGTAATATGTTTGTATGCAATGTAGTAACATGATATTATTGCTTGCGTATTTTACTATAATATTTTTAATTGTTTACTTTTAATAACTTATTTCACTAATTTTTTTTTTTTTTTTTTTCCCCCCATCAGATTCCATCCCCGCGTTTTATATATAGACATAGACATTCATCATGGTGATGGAGTTCAAGAGGCATTCTACCTTACTGATCGTGTTATGACCGTTTCATTCCATAAATATGGAAATTATTTTTTCCCGGGAACAGGTAATTTTCTTATGTATTTTAAATTTGTAATATGTATATAAACTTTGAAAAATACTTAACTTTGCAACAGTGATTTAAAGCACTATATTCACTGTGTAAATTTTATGCCATATTGTTACTAACCTAGGGAAATAACACATTACCAATAATGTAAATTCTAACTCGGTGATTTATATGACGTTACATGTATGTATGTATGTATACCTGCCTATTATTCATGATACAGTTTTTTTTAATGTTATTGTTGTGAATCAAGTTGTTTCACAAAATGATCAAGACCGAGTTCTAAAAAATTGTTTTTAATCTGTAATCTTTTTTTTTATAATAATTAAATTTATTTATGTTCCATTCCTACTAAAGTGCCATTATTTTTCAAATCTTTAATATTTATTGATATTTCATGGCAAAATTACAATATTTAGTACTGTCTACTGCATCCATTATGGTGAACGTTAGATATGATGAAGGCCACAGTACAATTTTTTTTAATGGCATAATTTTAGGAGCTAAGGTTCACATGTATGAATGTATGAAAAGCAGATTTAATAGGCTGTTGAACCTGAATAATTAGAATGCAATTGAAAATCTGATATTATCAGAGTAGAAATTTTTGAAAATTTACTTTTTTCTTTATGTATTTTCTTTGCATATTATTTATATACCAATAATTATGTTCATGTAAACTTTTGCTATGTGTGTAAATGAAGTTAACTTTTGTAAATGTTTGAAAAGATATGAAATGGATCTTAGTTTGTTCACAGTAGGAGTGCTAGAGTGTTTTTTTTGGGGGGGGATGTAAGTAACATATTAAATATCAGAATAATTATAAAAGTAGTCATCCTAATGATTGATTTAATATGTTTTGGTCAATTTAACCATTAATATTTCTCATATTAAATCATAAATATGTATTAATATATACTTATTGTTAAGTTTTATTTAATATATAGTTTGATGTTAATTATTTCTCATTTACAGGTGACATGTATGAAATAGGTGCTGAAAGTGGAAGATATTATTCAGTAAATGTACCTCTAAAAGAGGGCATTGATGATAATAGTAAGTGAATTCGAAATTGTTTTTCTTAATCTGAATGCTTGTATTTAAAATGTTGTATAAGTTTCATGTGTTGCAGAAGCTTTTTGAGGAAAAAATATCTTATTCAGCTAGTTAGGCATGATTTAATACATCAAACGTGACTGTAAGACATGCATTTGTGAATAATAAAAATGAAATTTGTTGCAAATTAAGGAAAAGACTATACTGCATTTTCATGGGCACCTACAAAAATGTTTCATGAGGAGAGAAAGAATTGAGCAAATAAACATGTCAGTAAATTTTAATTTAATTTCACAAGTAAATTATAGAGTACACTAATTGCATCAATAACATATTTTAAATAACAATAAAATAAATTACAATAAAATTTAAAAAAAAACTTATTTGATTCCAGTTAGGGGAGATGCTCCTAGTTTACCTTTATGGATACCCATGTTTTTGTTTCATGTTTCATTCAGTCTTGTTAAATGCTTTCAAGACCTTTTTTAACACATTTAGTAGTAATGAATGAGCTCAGCTTGCAAACAAATAACATGTCAGATTTGGCACATATGAGCTAAGCTGATGTTAGCAATTTTTACCTTAAAGGACAGAAATATTGGGTCTGGGAAAAGGTTTGTGACGTTTTTGGTATAGAATTCAACTGCTTTTCTTATAGTGTAAAATAGAATTTATTTAAACCATATATGCTCCATTATTATTGACAGTGTTTCGCTGTGTTTTGGGTAGAGCCATGATGAACTTCTGTGGTTTCTGGCTAAAAACTGAGTCAAGTGGTTTTTAACAGGCCTCTAATGAAACCAACCATTGAGAAAGTTCTTCAGAGATCAGAACAAGTGATAGTGACGATGGTGTTATGTCTGAACTATACATTGGGTCCATCATAACTTCCCAACCAAGCTCTCATAATTTTTGACGGGTCATCAAAGAAGTGTGTGGTCGGGCATTGTCATGATGGAAGACAGCACCTTTTTTATTATTCAATTCAGTTAGTTTTCTTTCTATTGCCTGGTATAATCTCTCTAGTTGTTCACAGTACAGTTGAGAATTAATCATCTGAACCAACTGGAAGTAGCTCATGGTGGATGATTCCTTTCAAGTCCCACCACACACACAGCAGCACCTTATTCAGCATTAATTCTGGCTTCACAACAGCTTGTGATGGCTTTCCATTCTTTATCCACAATCTTTACGCTTGCGGTTTTCATACATGATCCATTTTTCATTTGAGAAATGGCTTGAGTACATTGTGTTTCAGCAGGGCATCACTCATGTTAATTTGGTTTAGCATGTTTTCGCACTCATGCAAAACCCAGACATTGAGCTTCTTTTTGTATCCAGTTTTGTGTAAATGGTTCAATACAGTTTTGTAGTCAATGACCAGCTTCATACCAGTGTCAACACTGCTGATGTGCTTATCTTGTTGGACTCTTGTAAGAATTTCACAACTTTTTCAGCGATTAGATGACCAGAGTATGACTCGTCTTGTACGTCAAAATTACCAGAACAGAAGCAAGTGAACCATTTCCTTACACAAGATTTTAATAAGGTACCTTCACCGTTCACAACACAAATTTTTCACAAGCCTACACAGCATTCTTCCCTTTGTCGTAATAATATTTCAAAATGTAGCACAAGTTTTCCCGTCTTTTTTCCATTGTCAAATGCCTGTTTAAGAAAAGATGAAAGCCAGTCAAGAATCCATGTAAGAAGAGATGAAGCACTTCAAGAAAGGATTGAAACAGGTCAAGAGGAAATGAAAAGAAAAATTACCTGCAGAATAGATGCTGTCAAAAATAAAGTTGGACACGCTGAAGAAAGCGTTTCTTCTGTCGAAGAACAAATAGAAGGGAGAGTTTCTGCTGTGGAGCAACGAATCGAATCAAGAATTTCTGCCTTTCAACAACAAATTGATGACAGGTTTTCTGTGGTCGCCAAAGAATTTGATACTTTGAAGAAATTATTAGCGATGGTAGGGAGCAATAGTGATGCTTTTAAATTTTTACTTGTGCGTGCTCGTCCCTCTCTGAAGCTATCCATGTATGATGGGAAGACCTCCTAGCAAATATGTAACATACAATTTTCCATAGTGGCAGATGTAAATGGATGCGTTTCCCAAGATAAGGCCTGCCATCTTGCCACTACTGTGAGAGAAGACGCTGCGGATATTTTTCAAACTCTTCCAGTAAACCAGAGAATAGACTTCGAAGCTCTATCTGTCACATTGGAGAGAAGTGTTTAAAAGATTACAGGAAGTTTCAATTAAAATCCCATCAACAGAAGCCCACAGAAATTCTCCAGGAACTTGCCACGGATGCTGAAAGGCTATCTCATCTTGCCTTTTCAGAATGCCCGACAGAAACAAGGAGAATCTTGTTCCAGCAGTACTTCATAGACGGCATCCGAGATTCTGAAATACAGAAAGCTGTACAAATGGTGGATGCCAAAGATTTAAAATGCACACTAGTGTATATCATGAAATTCGAGGTAGCCTAGCAAGCAACTCATAGAGACCGCCACCCAATCAGAGCTGCATAAGTCTAGGAGACAGTGGTTTAAGTCACTGCTCGTCTAGATGATTTAACCTGACAACTCAGTGCCTTGAAACAGAATATTAGTAATAAGAAACCGACCCTAAAGTGTTGGAACTACGGTGCTGAAGGGCACATACAAAGAAACTACAGAGCATGGATGTTAAGACCGTTCCTAGCAAGAAGAGGGAAACTAATTAGTGGCCATCTCATGGGTTGGAAGTTGCCAGATAATGAGAAGCCGCATTTGAAAGAGCTTCAGATTTCTGCCATGAGTGGCTGCAGTAATGGACTCTTCACCATGGGACATATCCTTGAAGTTCCTTCAAAATGACGATCAAGACAGGAGCCAACGTTACCATCATTCGAAAAGATTTCGCTTAATTGGAAGATAAACTTATCTGTATCCTCTGGATTGTTTCCAGTGAGAAAATCAACATCGACGGAAAAGTAAACATTAACATCGCATTTGGAAGGGCCGCCTACCATCACATGGCAGAGATTACAGACCCTTGCATACTCGAATTGGATTTTCTAAGGAAATATAATTTTTCCTTAGACCTTTTAAAAATAACTATCTTCATTCTGCGGCTGAGGATATTATTTGGAATTAAGGATGAAGGAGTCAAATCTGTCCACAAAGTCATAGCTCAAAATGATGTTACAATACCAGCAAGAGCACAATTTTTACTTCCTAGATCCATAGAAATTCCAAGAACTGTAACAGCCCTAAAGGAGTACTAGTAGCCTCAGCTCTTGGCGACCTATCGAGGACCATTATTCTGATGAGATTTGTCAATGTAACTGACAAGGCAAGATTTATTAAGAAAGGTGAAGTGGTTGTAGCATGTACTCCAGTAACCAGCGTTAAACGAAATAGTGTCACTCCAGAATCTGTGTTTTCAGAGAGCATTATACTGGAGTTATTGCAGGATGCACAATTAAACGATAAAGAGAGGAATGCTGCAGAATGTGTCATGCAAGATCTTCAAGATGTTTTCTCTCACTTATCTTCTGACGTGGATCGAACCAGTTTGACACACCATAGAATAAATACCGGGGTTCATCCACAAATTGAGCAACATCCAAGATGTCTACCGATTGCTAAACAGGAAGAGGAGGAACATGGAAGAAATCAATGTCATCGAGCCTTCAGCAAGTCCGTGGACATCTCCCATCATCCTGATCAGAAAGAAAGATGGTTAACTAGATTTTGCATTGACTGTCGTCAGTTAAATGAGGTTATGAGGAAAGACAGCTACACTCTTCGTAGAATTGATGACATTCTAACATTCTGGACACTCTTTCTGGAAGCTAATAGTTTTGGACACTTAATTTAAAGAGTGCATATTGACAGGTAGAAATAACATCCTAATGACAGAGAAAAGACTGCATTTACTACTGGACAAGGACTTTGGCAGTTCAGTGTAATACCATTTCGACTATGTAATGTGTCAGCAACATTTGAACGCCCCATGGAGACTGTGTTGGGATGTCTTTCCTACAAAGCCTGTCTGATGTACCTCAATGACATCATCATCATCATGAAAAGTTTTGAAGAACATCTAGAAAATCTTAGAAAGAAACTGAAAGAAGCCAACCTAAAGTTAAGTCCTGCCAAATGTAAATTATTCAGACATGAAGTAACTTACCGTGGACATGTTATCTCTGCTGAAATTGTGTGTACGGATCCTGAAAAAGTGTTAGCAGTTAAAAACTGAAAACATCTCGAAAATGTTTACCAGGTGACAGAGAAGTTTCCTAGGGCTTTACACCTACTATAGAATATCTGTGAAGAACTTTTCTTCCATCACAAGATATCCTTGAAGCTTTACATGCTGACAGAAAGCAAGCAAAAGTTTTTGTGGACAAAAGAATGTAAGGATGCATTTAACAACCTGAAGGAAGCTTTGACTTCTGCTCCAATTCTGACGCATCCTCAGCTCCACAAACCGTTTATTCTCAACATGGATACGAGCAGTGAAAGTGCCAGTTCAGTTTTGTCCCAAGAAATAAATGGCCAAGAATGTGCCGTGGCATACTACCAAATGCCTGTCTAAACTGGAGAAGAATTGTTAATTAGCTGCTGTTGTTATTGTTACAAATTCGCTGGGAGATCAGATTAGTTTTCTCTTTAAATGCATTGTGAATTGTGTTCTAGTTAATGTATTTGTGTTCTACTGATTATTACTGCTCAATATTGTGAGCAAGTATACAAATATCTCTGAGAAAAATTCCAGTGTTTTGTTATATTTCTTATGGTAAGAATAAATTTTATTAACCTTTTATTGGACTTGTGCATTTAATCTACGAACCCGTATGCACGCAACATATATATGTTTTAGCAAGTGAGCAATTTGGTTTGAGTCCTAGTGTGAATCATTATGTTAATAATTGACAGTAAAGTATGTAGTGTTTTTTGTTGGTGGTTTGTTCTTTGTTTATAGTTTTCTTCTTCAATCCTGATTGTAATTTTTTATATGCTAACATTTAATGCAAACTATTTATTTCTTATTAGGTTATTTTCAAACTTTCAAACCTGTCATTCAAGCTGTTATGGAATTTTATCAGCCCACTTGTATCGTTTTGCAGGTAGGTATTGCCATATATCTTATATTCCCTTTCACTGTTGTTTATGCATATTAATAACATAAAAATATGTGTAAAGAGTGCTTGTTATTTTTTGATTTTTACTTTAAAAAAATGTGTACTTTAATCAGTGCTGTGGAGTCAGAATGGGAGTTAGGCAGATGTTTGGGTAAAAGAAGTTAGAGCTAAAAACACTTTGACTCCGACTCCAGTTTTTGTTGGACAGTTTTAATTTGAAATGAAGTTAAAGTGAATTGAAAAAAACATTTAATGGTAAACTGAGTCAGTATTTTTAGTTATAAACTATATACATTAATAAATAGTTATTTTCTATGTTATTGACGTATTAATAAATAAATATAAGGGAGGAGGATAGATGTGACATTTGCCATTATTGATTAAACTTATTAACATAGTTACTTCATTTAGTTACAAATCTCATTGATAAATTTAGGTAAGCAGCAATAGCAGTAAGAACTCCCAAAATTGATGCCATTTTTAGGAAGCAAGCAGGAAAAGGAACAATTATTGATCAAGCAGCGGGATGGGGAAGTACATAATTTATGATATAGAGGTTGTCAGAATTAAGAACATTTTTAGAAGATGTAGATAACCCTAATGTTTCACTAACAAAAAGACTATGGAATCATCTTGCATAACTGGAAACTCTTTCAACACATTATATAGCCACAAAAAAAAAAAAAAAAAAAAAAAAAAAAAAAAAGCTACAATCTGAAGAATTAACAGGAGGCGGAATTGGAAGAATCTTATGTTTGTTCTTTCCAAAATGGAGGGCTTATTGCAGAAGGAATGATTTCTTCAATGAAGAAAAGATAAATTAGTTTGCTAGACAATGAGATCTTGCTGGTTTCAGTATATGTAGATCCAAAACGCCAAATTTTGTTGGGGGATGAACAAATTAAAAATGCAAAGAAAGTCATCTATGGGCTTTAATCAAGAATGAAATTATTCTCAGAACAAATGAAGTATTCAAATCAGGACGGTCAAATATCAGACATTGCAATGAGTCTCTATCATCCTCTTCTAATGATGAATTAGATTTCAAGAAACATTTGAATAATATTGAAAAGGCTAAGACAAAATGAATGAAAATAAAGAACCAAGAGCCTTTAGATATGAAAATGAAAAAATACAAACAAGATTTCTACACAGCATTTGAAGAAATAGAGAAATATGATTGCGCAAGACATCTCTTTTAGAACTTATAAACATCTCTCCTGAAAAGTTAAAAGAAGTAGCCTTAACAGTAACAGCTCTTCCTCCTACTCAAGTTAGTGTGAAAAGACTGCTCTCAGCTCTCAAGTTTATCAAATCACATCTATGGTCCTCTAACAAAGATCTTGCCGAAGCTATACATTTCTTAGAAAGTTACTAATGCCGGTTTTTCCATTTCATAATACATGCTAATTAATATAAATAATTTGCTATGCCATCAATTTTTTCTCTAGTATCTACTACTTCTTTGATAATAAAAATGTAAGCTTTAACACATGTGTATATGTTTACATGTATGAGGGTTGGAACTTTAATAGTGGCAACTATTTATTTACAAGGAATACAAAGGTGATTCATGTCATCATGTTTTACAGTCCTTCAATATAGTCGCCAGCATTGTGTACAGCCCGTTTCCAACGATGTGGAAGTCGCAGAATACCTGTAGCAGCGCCTGTTTTGTTGATAGTTTGAAAGGACCAGTCTACTGCCGCAAGAATCTCAGGAACAGTTTGGAAGTGAGTGCCACGAAGTGGTTCCTTCATCTTAAAAATTAAGTCATAGTCACAAGGGCTTAGATCTGGGGAGTATGGTGGATGGTGAAGCACTTCCCAGCCCTATTGCTTGAACTAATCAGTCACAGCTTGCGCTGCATGCGGCCGAGCATTGTCATGCAAAATGAGAGGAGCGTTCTTCAGAAAGTGTCGCCGTTTTTTTTCTCAAAGCTGGTCGGAGATTGTGCTCCAAAAATGAGCAGTAATACTGTGCAGTGATGGTCTGCTGTGGGGGAACAGTATGCGTTAGTATGACACCATCACAGTCATACACGAGAATCACCATAACTTTCACATTGCTGGAGTTCTGACGAAATTTCGAACGTCATGGTGACCCGTGATGATGATGCCATTCGTTTGATTGGCGTTTCAGTTCTGGCTGGTACGATAAGGCCCAAGTCTCATCCAGCGTAATAATACGGTGTAAAAAAGCATCTCTTTTGCGCTCATAGTGCTCCAGCTGGGTTCGGGCAGCATCGTATCGTAGCCATTTCTGCATTTCTGTCAATTGATGGGGAACCCATCGTGTAGCAATTTTTCTCATGGACACGCGTTCCTTCAGAATGTGCAGCACAGTCGTATGCGCTAATCCTGTTTTTCCGGCCAGCTGACGAATCGTTCGGCCGTCCTTCATTGAATGCTTTCACCCATCTTGCTACGGTTCTGTAAGGCAATGCAAATTCCCCGCAAGCCTCTTGAAGCCCTTGATGACACTGTCGTGCTGTACGACCTCTGTCACATTCAATTTTTATCCAACATTGTTGTTCTTGTTTTGAAAACATCCTGACAACACTTACTTTAGACCATGAGCTAATACAAGGATCCTTTCTTCGCGTCACTCCGCATGTGCGTGACGTAGGCAGGACGAGTCTTTTTGCTGAGAGGTAAGGTAGGTATGTAGTTTACGTGTGGTATACGCGATATTCTTTGGTTTTGTTGCGTAGCGTTTTTTCAGTTGTGTTGCCACTATTAAAGTTCCAACCCTCGTATATGAGGGAGTTGGAGTCTGTAATTTTCCTTACCGAGTACACGGCCCTGGCTTTAATGTCCTAGTAATTCTTACTATTCATAATCTTATATGTAATTGTAGGAGCCATTAGAAAACTGAAATATTTATGTATAAAATGTTATAATTACGCTAACATAAATTAATATTTATCTATTTAAAAGTTTTAAATTGTTTTACTCTGCTGAAATTAATGGTTGAGCAAAAATTTGAGTTTTCTTTTATTATTTATTTATTCTGAAGTTTGTTTTGTTTTTCAGGAATAAAAATTATTCTGTAACTCTTTTTGATTTGATGAGTTATTCATTAATAAGGAATTTTAAGTTTTCTTTCTAGAAAATTGTTAGTTTAACCAAGTGCCCATAGCCCCCTTGATAGGGGAAATGAGGATATAAATTCTTGAGGCAGACAGATAGAGCAATGATTGAAGATCACTTCCTCAACAATGGACAAAATACCTACTTGAGATTACTATCTCTTGATCGTGCCGTCTGTTAACCATCTCTTTTACCTTTTTAATTCATTCAGTCTAGGGGATGATCCTTATAATAGTGATCATCTTCTCATTTTTATAACTCTCTCACAAGAAGGAGTAAATCCCATGTTTAAAGCCTCTCGTTTCATATATGTTAGGCAGATTGGGAACTCTTCTCATTTATCGCAGAGCTCACAGAAGAAATGGTTATAGATGTGCCTATCGATGAAGCGGTGAAATCAGCTACTGATATTATTATGCCGGCAGCTACAGTTTCTACATCTATGACATCAGGAAAGGTAAGAAAATATCCAAAGCCATGGTGGAACCATGTGCACCAGGAAATCAGAGTTTCAACAGAGAGTTTTTTCTTTTCTCAAACAAAGAAAAGCTTCGGAGCACTCCATAAGTGTCCAACTCTATCAAACTTGATAGCCTTCAAAAGAGCCAAAGCACATGCGAAGAAATAAGAGCCAGAGAGATTCATGGATATCTTGTGTATCTGGGATAACATCATCTACACCAGTTAAACGAGTCTGGGAAAGAGTTAGAAAAGAATGCTGAATATATAATGACCACTCACTTTCCTTTCTGGAAAAAGATGGCTGAGTGATATGCTCCACAGAAGAAATTGCGAACACTATTGGTGAGACATTTGTTACCATTTCTTCCAGCAGCAATTATCCACCAGCATTTCGTTCTGTTCAACTGTACTCTGAGAAAATTCCCATTGCATTTTACTCTTCCAACTCTGAGCCTTATAATAGCATTTTAATTATTCTTGAGCTGAAAAGTGTTTTATCACAGACACCTAGATATGGTCCAGGTCTAGATAGTGTTAATTGCAAAATGCTGAAGCATCTGTCCACTAAATCATTGACTGCCCTTCTCACTCTTTATAACCGAGTGTGGAAGGAACATATTTTCTCCAATGTATGGAAGAGAGCTGTTATTATTCCTATACCTAAGCCAGGTAAAGACCTGAAGGATCCCTCCAACTATCGGCCTAATTGCAAAGTTCCATGTGCAAAGTGTTTGAAAAAATGTAAACAGCCACCTAGTGTATTTCTCGGAAAAGAATCAAATCATAGAATCATATTACCTTATTACAGCGGTTTCCAAAAAGGAAGAGCGACCATGAATAACATGCTCCTTTTGAAAACATCCATTCGTAAAGCCTTTGTGAGAAGAAGCCATCTTGTCTCTGTTGTCTTTTTTTTTTTGATATAGAGAAAGCTTATGACTTAATCGCATGGAGATATGGTATACTTTATGACCTTGCAGTGGCTTGTATGGCAACTTGCCTATTTGCATCAAAAAATTTTTGAGGGCAAGAACTTTTCAAGTCAGAATTGGTTCTTTTTTATCAGATATCTTTAAAAGAAGAAGGTGTCCTTCAAGGCTGTGTGCTCAGCATTGCTCTGTTTAGTTTAAAAATCAAGACTGTCTTAAGGCAACTTCCTCCCATGGTTTTAGGATCATTATATGTTAATGACCTGCAGATAAGCTGTCATGGGGCAGATGTGAGACATGTAGAGAGGCAATTGCAGATTACCCTGAACAGAATTCAGGACTGATCAGACAAACAAGGATTTTTGTTTTTGAAACAGAAGACTGCGTGCACTTTTATAGGAAGCGAGGTCTCCATCCTGAGCCAAGTTACATCTTCATGGATCAGTGATTCCAGTTGAACCTGAAGTAAAGTTTTTGGGAGTACTGTTTGATTGAAAACTGA